ACAGAACTTTCTCCTTTTGGAGGATGAATGACTATACACTGGCCATTCCTTAATGATACGCTTTTGAAAACTGGAACTCTGGGGCACCTGGGTGGCTCAGTTGGTTAAGCTTCTGACTTCGGCTCAGGTCATGATCTCACACTATGGGTTCGAGCCCCACGTCGGGCTCTGTGCTGACAGCTCAGAGCCTGGAGCCCGTTTCAGATTCTGTGTCTCCCTCTCACTCTGCCTTTCCTCACTCTCTCTCAAAAATAAACATTAAAAAAAAATTTTAAACTGGAGCTCTGATTTGAGGGACATTTCTCATCTTGCTGTTTTCAGAGTTTCCTGTTCCAGTTGACCAGGAACAAACAAACATACAGTCAGAAAGTCCAACCAATGCCTTCCCATGGCCAATTTTTTAATAAATTTACAGTAAAATGCCCTCCAGGAGCATGATTGTCACCGCAGGCTTATTATAATCACTTGGTTATAAAACAATTACAAATTCCATTTTAACACCAAACTTTTCAGAGGAAGCACAGTGGTATCTGTTTTGATTAAGGAGGGCAAACTTCAGTCCTCAAACAGGATTATGGATTTCCCCTAAGCTACAGCCACCAATTCTCCTCTAACCCTGATTGCTCATCTTTTCCGGCTGAACTAAAGGGTCAAAGTGGAAATACTTCATCAACCTCAATGCAAACCATCCTCAGAGCTTGAAAAACCAATTCAATACTGACAGCCAGGCAATAACTCCATCTTCTAATGCAGACAGAGGGTATTAAACCATCTTTACGTATACCTTTAAGAGTAAAACCCTCATATGATTATATTTCTCATAACTTTCAACTTTGTTTCTGAATCCACTAACTTTCTCTTGCTGCTAGCAAAGTGACTTCCTATAATCAGAACCTTTCCCACAATTTGCACACTTTTCAGAAATGTCTACATTTCTAGTAAAAACAATCCCATTTATAATTGCACCAAAAATAATGAAGTACCTAGGAATATACTTAACCAAGAAGGTAAAAGTCCTGTACTCTGAAAACTTAAAACATTGATGAAAGAAACTGAAGACGACACCAAGAAATGGAAAGACATTCCATGCTCATGGATTGGAAGAACAAATATTGTTAAAATGTCTATACTACTCAAAGTAATCTACACATTTAATGCAATCCCTATCAAAATACCAACAACATTTTTCACAATCATAAAATTTGTATGGAATCACAAAAGACCCTGAATTGCCAAAGCAATTCTTGAAAAAGAACTGAAGATATCACAATTCCATACTTCAAGTTATACGGCAAAGCAGTAGTAATCAAAGCAGTATGGTACTGGCACAAAAAGACACACAGTTCAATGAAACAGAATAGAAAACCCAGAAATGAACCCACAGTTATATGATCAATTAATCTTTGACAAAGGAGAAAAGAATATATAATGGGAAAAGACAGTCTCTTCAACAAATGATGATGGGAAAGCTGGGCAGCAACATGCAAAAGAATGAAAATGGATCGCTTCCTTACACCATACAAACATTAAATCCAAAATGGATGAAAGACCTAAATGTGAGAACTGAAACCATAAAAATTATTTAAGAGAGCACAGGCAGTAATTTCTCTAACATTGGCTATAACTGCATTTTTCTAGATATGTCTCCCGAGGCAGGGGAAATAAAAGACAAAATAAACTCTTGGGACTACATCGAAATGAAAGGCTTCACTTCCTTCTAGTGAAGGAACAAAACTAAAAAGACAGCCTACTAAATGGGAGGAGATATTTGCAAATGATATATCCAATGAAGGGTTAGTATCCAAAATATGTACAAAACTTATATAACCTAACCCCCCCCCAAATAAACCAATTAAAAAATGGGCAGAAGACATGAACAAACACTTCTCCCAAAGAGATACAGATGGCTAAGAGACACATGAAAAGATGTTCAGCACCACTCATTGCCAGGGAAATGCAAATTAAAACTAAAATGAGATACCACCTCACACCTCCTAGAATGGCTACAATCAAAAACACAAGGAACAGCAAGTGTTGGCGAGGACATGGAGAAAAAGGAAAACTCAGGCACTGTTGGTGGGAATGCAAACTGGTATCGTCACTATGGAAAACAGTATGGAGGTTTCTCAAAAAGTTAAAAATAGAATTACCCTATGATCCAGTAATCATACTACTGGGTGTTTACCCAAAGAATACAAAAACACTAATTGGAAAGGATATAAGTATCCTTATGTTTATTCCAGCATTATTTGCAATAGCCAGACTATGGAAGCAGCCTAAGTGTCCATTGATTGATGAATGGATAAAGAAGATGTGGTATATATACACAATGGAGTATTCAGCCATAAAAAAAAAAAAAAAAAAAAAAA